CTGAAAGGTTTCTATTCCACGTTACCATCGTCCTCTTCAGACAGGATTACATTAATGAGAACTAGAAACCTTTCAGTTCATGCCCACAGCATCCACATGGGGGAGTTACAGCAAAGCAACTGCAGGGCACAGCTTCAGTTACGCCTAACACTGGGGCCAGATTAAAGCAGTGGCTGAAGAGAGATTACAATGAAACCCAATGCCCTCGTTTTCACTTGTGACCCACAACAGAGCGCAGGAGTGAAACACCAGCCTCGCCCGGACCCCCGTCCTTCAGTTAACTCACTCTGCAGCAGATCCAGGAGTTTGGGAAAGATAAACGGAGACAAACATTCATTTCTAGTGCCTAAATCAAAGTTGGTGTTACATTCACAGTAACAGAAGCATGGCACCCTTGCTGAAATTCACCTCTGTGCAGAGGGCCAACGCAAGGCATCTGTGGACCAGTTAAGCCTTGTGTCAAGGGTGCTCATTTGACCATGCTATGGACACTTCTTTCCACAGGCATTCTGCAATAAACCGTAATTCTTGCAGTAGTGAAAGGATACTTCAAAGTAAAAGACACTAGTAATCACCAGCACGGGGCCTAAATTAAGTGGTGCGCAGTGGACAAACAGAGAAACCCATTCCACCGAAAATACTAATGCACCATCACATCTGAGACAGTAACACCATCTGAAGGCAGGAAACTGGGCAGAAATCAAGATCCAGTCTCCTTGTCTGTATGCATTCTGTGACCACATGACAGACCCTACCAGAATACTGACAGGTTTCAGAGGAACAGCCGTGTTAGTCTGTATTCGCAAAAAGAAAAGGAGTACTTCTCCTTTTCTTTTTACCAGAATACTGGGGACCTGCAATTTAGAAATTATTTGCAAGGTAAATATTTTGTATTTCACAAATAAGGTGAAATTCATTCCAAAACAAAGGCCAATTCACCAAAGCCACTCTTACGAAAAGGTCTTGGTACTCCCTGTAGTCATCTTGGACCAGGGAAGCATCTCTAGGAGCTACAGTCTCAGCAGGCGAGGACGAACGCAAAGGAGGCTGAGGCTGATCCTCCTGCAGTGTAGCGGGTGGATGTTCCAAAGCTTGCAGGCCTTGAGCGTTTTGCTCGGTACTGAAAACATCCTCCTGGGACTCCTCATGGAGCGTGGTAGGAGATCTAAGAGACTGAGGAACCAGGGAGGATCTGGAAACTAGAAACATGCTCCATGGGTTCCAGTAGGGCCACTGGTACAGCATAGGACCCCAACCATGAGTAAGGTTTCCTTTCTCTGGAGTGTCTCTGTATCTCCGGTGGGCACCTCCCTTGACGGAGGAGAGGAGTGCAGTCATCTGTCTCAAGAGCAAGGGGCATAAAAGCCTACCTCAGGCTCCGAGCAAGACCCTGAGTCAGCCGATCATACCAATCATACCATACCAAGCGGTCCCAAGGTCGAGGTGCACTGTTCTGGAGCTATTGGTACATAGCTCTGAGATATCCAAGTAGGTTTATCCCAGGACTGCACTGCTTGAGAAAACGCCAGATGGTTGAAAGCTTTATCCCCCTGCAGTGCCAACTCACTAGCTTCAGGCAAGTCCGTAGCTGGGGCCTGAGGATGCACCGTCACCGAGTGAGTTGCTTCCTGTACCATCAGGGAGCCTGGCACCCAAAGGCAGAGTAGATCTCATGCGGCCAGACGTGCCTCTGGCATTGTTGGTACAGAGATACTTTCCTGTTGCAGATGATGTTGCCCAGAAGTAGTTGGTACAATGGCAGGGATCAGCTGCCAGAGTTGATGAGCCCTGATGCGAATAGGTCGGTACGGGGAGAGTCTCTTGCCAAAGGGCCCCTTCCTCTGTCCTCCTGAGCACTTACTGATCTCAGCTCCTTAGACAAATCAGCTCCTTGGAATGGGGAAGGGGACTGGTGCCGACATCCCGAGACAGTGGCCGGAGAGGCATTCCACACCCAGGCTGAAGAGCCCTGTGCTGCATGCCCCAAGCAGTAAGGCTCAGAAGGTAGATGCAGGGCAGCCTCCATCTCAGTCTTTCTTCGTTTGAGGTTTAAAAGTCCCTGCAAATTTGGCAGCGGTCCCTAATGTGACCCTTGTTGAGACGCTTTAGGCAGGTGGAATGAGGGTAACTTACCAGCACAGGTCTTTTGCAGCTGGCACGAGGCTTAAACACTGGAGATCGTGGCATACCCTAGTATTGGGGGTCTGCGCCCTGTACAAAAGGGGAACTGATGCGCCAATAAAACAATACAAATAATAAATGAAACTTATATTAATCTAAACGACTAACAAGTGCCAACTATTTATAGTAAAGCTGAGAGATTCCCCATAAGGGGATAAACTTGCAGAAGCAAGCCAACACACTCCAATTACCAATCACAGGCAGTGAGAAAGAACTGAGGAGGTCCGGGGCAGCTTGGCCCTTTATACCATCATGCGGCAGTATGAGGCAACAGAGGCCACATGCGCTGCCCCAATGTTAAGGGAAAAATCCCTGATTCTGGGGCACTGGGCACGCACACACATGAAGGGGAATGGACACGTGCACTCAAAGAATTCTGAATTTCTTAGCTTTTGTGGGGTTGACATCTTGATTTTAACGTTGCATTAATGAAGCTGGGCTTTGTTTATAAAGGAGGGGGAAAAAAGGACAGTAATAAAAAATACCGATGGGGAGAACTAAGGAACTGGCTGGAGGGGTATGCACACACTGAGCACCCAGCCCCAACTAACACTGGGAAACATGGTGCCCAGGGCTCATGCTCTTGATATGGTCCCTGATCTAGAAGAATTAGAACATTGTAGGGCAGATATAGGAGGCCCAAGAAAGTGAGGCACAAAGACAAGTCATGGTTAAACCCCTGAATGCTTGGAGTGCTTTTCGGATTCAGTAACTAATAAAGGAGCTTCCCCAGATGCAATGCTTGTGTTGCCAGAGAATGGTTACCATTTTATCTGATGTGTTTTCTCTTCTGTACTTGCTATTAAAAGCCACATTCGCTTAAGAGCGACAGAAGCAACTGCTAAGCAGGGCAAGGTCCAGCCTGAGGCTTTCAGACAGGCTGCTCCTGTCTTGCCAGATGCTGGCACCAGTAAGGGGAGTAATGGCCAGGATGTGGGCCACTGTGATTCAGCACCTTGCTCTTATGAGGTGTTACAGAGCAGGCAAGTGCAAGGCAAGGAGAGGGTGAAACGGCCCACAAATAAACAAAGGAGACAATCATTAACTCTCCTCCTCCCTCTAGCACCTGTCAAGAGCGAAGAGATGTGGAGCAGCCCTCTAAGCATGCACAACTCCGCTGACTTCAGTGGCATCACAAGCACTTGCAAAAGGCATGTATTTGGCTCTTTGGGTTTCAAAAGCATTCAGTTAATCCAGCTCTATATTCTGGTCACAGGCCAGTGGGTCATCTGATTAGTTCTGTTAATGATTCCTCTATGCTGGAAACTCTGAAGAAAGGTCTCCTGACATTACCCCACCATGCCAATCCTTTTGTGAGGTGTTCTTTGCCCCCAAACAAAGGCCTGTCTAAGTGATCATTGCTTCTCCGACCTTCCCCCCCACACTGTCAGAGAGCCTCCATCCACCCATACGGCCCCACATCACAGTTCTTCTGAAGGAGGATCCCCTTGGAGACATCAACGCCACACCTTAGTGGGTGGAGTCAATACTGGGAGATACCACGGCTGCTGCACGGGAAGGAGTCTACTGAATTCACACTGCCACCCAGGAAATTAATTTGATTCCTGGTGTCTCACCTTCCAGGCTGCAGAAATCAAAGCAGTGGATGACAGTGAAGAGAATAACCAAGCAGGGCAGATTTTCTTCTCCTCGCTCTGGAAGTATGTTTAAAGCAAAGACCAGGTATAACGGCTGACTTTATTCCTGCTCTACGTGGCAGAGTTATGAGTGGCAAGCCCCCACGTCCCACCCAACAACTCAGTGGGACAAGGTAAAGACAAGCACTGACAGTACCACCTAACTACTCTCTGGTAGCGGGAAAGCCAGTTCTTCCCCTTCTGGCATCCCAGCAGTGTGAGGCCAGTCATGGCTTTCCCACCTTGGCTGGTAAGAATAGGATTTACATGCTAATCTCACTTAACACAGAGGAGCAGGAGGAGGGGCAGAAAAGGAGGGGAAACTGAAGAAACAGTTACGACTGTAGGTGATGGGGCACACAAACCCCACACTGGAGAAGAAAGGGTTAAGGAGCTTCTCTGGGCCCAGGCAGCCCCCCCCCCCCACCACACACACACACTTGCAAAGCCTGCACAAGCCAGTAAAAAGGGAAGTTGAGTAACACAATGGCAGAGAAACAACAGAAGTGAGCTGACCTGTGCTCTTAACTGCCGAGAAGGAGCTCCACAGGGGCACCTGCTGATTGAAGCCAGGTGATACTGACCTGACCCAGCCTGCAAAGCATAGACTGGTGACTTTTTGAAAATCAGAAACTTTATCTGTGTGTTCCGTTATTTACTTTACCCTGTGGGAAGAGAGGGGCACTGGCAGGAAGCGATCCAGGGAGGCACCTGCATAGCACCTCAATGTACAGGGCCTAGCTGCCAATCACTGGGGCCCCAGATCGGAGCCCAGTGGAGAGGGTGAGCTCAGGCTCTCCTACCAACCCCCAAAAAGGAGACAATGACAGAAGTCTATCCCTCACCAAGGAACCAAGTTGGGAAGACCCTGAAGGTACTTGATGCAAGAGGGGGAAGTCCTGAAGCCCTTGCTGATTTCTGAAGACTTCTCCATCATTGGACTCTGTGTAACCCAAACAAATTAGACTTGAATTTGTGACTCGGCCGGAGTGCAGAGACACTGAAATGACAGATCACCACAGGGCGACTATATAATGAGAAAGGGGATCACCCGGGAGGAAGACAACCTACCACAACCCCGCCTGACCACTAGGTGTGACTAGCGGTGAGCATTCCCCTTCACAACATACCAATGGGATTTAGAAGCACATTTATGCCGAGTTCATCAGGACAGTCACTTACACTGGCTGGATTTTGGTGAATTCAGGGATTTCTTCCTTTTTCTTGCGGAAGAGGAACCAATAAGAAAGGAGGCCAACGATGAGTGAGAAGAGAAACACATCGGTCATGCTGAAGAGTGCGCCCTCCGGGACAGCGCTCTCAGGAGTGGGGAGAGTGGAGTCCATGGCAGAATCCCCCATGGCAACTGGCAACGCTAGAAAGGGGAAAGAGGGAAAAAAATAAATTACATATAATCAAAATGCCAACCGTGCCAGAGCATCACCGGAATGTGATGGGAGAGACCTAGGAAAAGACCTCCCAGTACATGCTGTGTTCACTATATTTTTCAATGTCCCAAGAGCTAGCCCATCCTTTAGGAGATCATTCCACAGCCTAATGCATCTCACTGCGAAAAAGAAGCCTTCTGCTATATTCAGCCAAAATTCCTACTTTCAAATTGTATCAACCCTAGCCAGCTTGCACTCCATCCTTGGCATAAACACCTTTCAAACAGCTGTAGCCTTGTGCCTCTCCCAGAGGTCCTCATCTGGCTCCCATCAACGTCAGCGGCAAAGCTTGTGATGGGAGCCAGATCAAACTCACAGCTGGCCCTTGCCCCAGTAATACATATTCTGGAGGATTCATTTCCTCCAGCCACCCCGATCATTTTTGTTGCTCTTCTCTCTTGTATCTTTCTGGGGCAGAATTTACTGCCATATGACTCAACCACACCAGAGCCACGGAGAGAGCCTGTTACCTTCCTCCATAGCGGTGCAATACCTCGTTGGATGCATCCTCAAGCTGTGTTCACTTTTGTTTTGCTTCAAATTCATGTCTAATTTGCCATCCACTAGCACCTTTAGGTCCCTGTTGGCACAACAGCATTCGCATTCCTATTCCTCAAGATGAATCCCAGTTTGTTCATTTTTGCCCACCTCTCTATTCTCTCTAGTAAATCCTAGGTCCATTTATACTATTGCCTTTGCACTCATTTAGTATCTGTCAGGTTTATTAATACCTGCTTTTTCCTTTCTTCTAGATCATTAAAGTGGCTAGCTGAAGACAGATTTCTGAAATGACAAAGAGCAATGTAATGGATTGGATGGGACTGTTCAAAGAACACCTCGATGTTGATTTGCATGCAATTAATCATGTGTTACTGATCTATTATCAATTATTCTTATTCCCCCCCCCCGAAAAGCATCAAAAAAGAGCTGATCGTTGTGAGCACATTCGGACTAGCAGTTCCCCTGATCCATCTGGCTAAGGTACTTACAGAGGCTCCCAGGTTACACAAGACCTGACTTAGGCAAATCCGCACTCAGGTTGCGTAAGCTAGAAATAGGAGGGCTTTTTTGTTTGTTTTTGCACATAATGGTCGGGTATACATTTCCGACTTACGCAAAATTCAAGTTACGCAAGGCATTCCGGAACGGAACGATAGCATAAGTCAGGGAGCATCTGTATTTCGCCCTCATTACCACATTAGCTCAATGCCTCACAATCTTTAATGTATTTATCCTCCCAACACCTCTGTGAGGCAGGGCAGTGCTATTATCCCTATTGTACAGGTGAGGAACTGAGGCTCAGAGAGGTTAAGTGACTTGCCCAAGGTCACACATGGCGTGTGTGGCAGAGCAAGGACTTGAACCCAGGTCTCGCAAGTCCCAGACTGCTGCCTGAACTACTGCCACCCTGCCCTTCGAGAATAAATAGCTACTGCTTTTCCTCTTCCATTGTTTCCCCAAGCTACCAACTCTTAGCAATCATGCTTCACACTGGAAGATTAGTTTCATGATGGGCAGAACAGAGTTCTGAGTGGGCAAGCAGATGATTAACTTGAACCATGATCCATGGGGGTAGAGTAGTGACAAAGTTGACAGCGGGAAGAGTAAGCAGCACAGGTCATTGCAATGGTAGCGTCACATTAGGAAACTGGCAGAGCGGTGATTCACAGAGCTCAAGGGAACATTGTAATCAACTAGTCTGACCTGCTCTTTAACCCAGACCAGAGACCTGCCCCAGAATTATTCTTAGAGCAGTTCTTTTGGAAAAACATCCCATCTTGATTTTAAAATGGTCAGTGACGGAGAACCCATCACAATCCTTCCAATGGTTAGTCATTCTCACCGTTAATAATTTACACCTTATTTCCAGTCTAAATTTGTCTAGCTTCAACTTCCAGACATCGGATCATGTTAGACTTTTCTCTGCTAGACTGAAGAGCCCATTGTTCAATATTTGTTGCCCATGTAGGGACTTAAAGACTGTAATCACGTCACCCCTTAACCTTCTCTTTGCTAAGCTAAATAGATGGAGCTCCTTGAGTTTATCACTGTAAGGCAGATTTTCTAATCCTTTCATCAGTCTCATGGCTCTTCTCTGATCCCTCTCCAATTTATCACTGTCCTTCTTGAATTGTTGGCACCAGAACTGGACAGAGGATTCCAGCAGTGGCTGCACCAGGGCCAAATACAGAAGTAAAATAACTTCTCTACTCCGCCTCAAGATGCCCCTGCTTATACAGCTCAGGCTCACATTAGCTCTTTTGGCCCCAGCATCACACTGGGAGCTCCTGTTCAGATGATTATTCACCACAGCCCCAAACTGTTTGCAGAGTTGCTGCTTCTCAGGATAGAGTCCCTCATCATGTAAGCGTGGGGAATTCTTTGTTCTTAGATGCAGAAATGATGTGATTAAGGTAACTCCCCCTCCACGTGCCAGTGGACTGGCTCTATCCACATTGCAATTGAACACCCATCACTGGCCCACGTCAGCTAACTTGAGCTCACAAGGCTGGGACTATGGGGCTGTTTAACTGAGGTGTGGACGTTTGAACTCCGGCTGGAGCCTGGGTTCTGGGACCCTTCCTCCTCGCGTGCAGGCTCTGAGGCTTAAGAAAGTGGGTGGGCGTCAGAGCCCGAGCTGCAACTTCAAAGCACCGTCTGTACAGCGATTTTAAAGAGCTAGCACAAGCCCCACTAATCCAAGTCTGTCGACCCAGACTGGTAGGCTTGCTCCAAAATGCAGCGTAGAGACACTCCCACAAGCAGAGTGATCCCCTATTGTGTTTATTATCTAGAAAACACTTTGAGGCCACCAAAAAATTTGTTGTTAGAACCCTTCTAGTGGGATGTTACTGTGGGACTATGGCGAATTGCTGAACAGCACCGCTGTCAAAAGTTACAAATCAGCACTTCAGTAGAGGGTGTAGAGACGCACATATGCACCTTGCAGTGACATTAGACAGGCCTTTCAGGTGCACGAATCAAGGAGCTTGCACTTCCAACGTTGCAAGGCTAGTTCAGGAGTAAACACAGAACAATTGATTCTCAGATCTGTTCAGAGTTTTATTTTACTAAAGAATTTAAGAATGCGATTCTACTCTGCGGAGTGATTAAACAAGGAGTCCCATGATGTCGTTTTCATTGTCTGGATTGCCTAAAAGTGAAGTTTTTCTTCTAGCCAGAACCCCTGCAAACTAACTCTGAGATCTGAGTGTTAACCGGGAGGTCAGGTTTGGCTTTGTACATTACCACAGGTTGCCCTGAGCCAACTGAGGTGGGTCATACCATAGATGCAATTACAGAGTAGGCTTTATGATAAAGCCTCTGTACCTTGTGCCAAGCAACTTGTGTTTTAGGGCTCTCTCTTGTTCTCAAGGATGTCTGCGCATCTCCATTAATCGTTGACATGCATTGTGTGCCAGAGTTGCAGGGAGAGTTTTTAGGCTGCTGGCCACTTTTCAGGGACATTTCCTGCCAAGGACTGTGTTTGTACTAATGACTTAATTGACAGTAATTCACTAGTGTTACGGTCTGGTCCTATGACCTGTTGAGCACCCTCCACTGACTCTGAACTCAATGGTGGAGGGTGCTCAGTACCTTTCAGAATCAGGCCCTTTGATGCTCCCGATTCCGTGAAATGTCTGGCACTGAAGTTTGATGACTTTTAATTAAAGACAAATTAAATGTGCATGAATTCACTGCTGTAGAACATTTCTGTGCGACTTCACAATGACCCCAACTATACATGTGTTTAGGGACCAGACCTTCTAAATCTAACACAATACCAGAGCTCTAAGCCTGAAAAGGGACCATTTCAAAGTTGAATGGGCTAAAATATAACCATGCCTAACATATCCCCCCATTACTTCTTAATTTGTATTATATTGCTGCCTAGAGGTCCCAGCTGAGATGGGGGGAGGGTCCCCATTTTGCTGACAGAGTAAATAGACAAGGCAGAAAAGGAAATATATCCCACTTCACCAATGGGAAACAAGGCTCAGATTTTCAGAAGTGATTGGTTATTTTGGGTGCCTCAGTCTTTGCCCATCTTGAGTCACCTCAGAGGGGCTCACTGTTCCAAGTGCCCACACTCTGTAAACCAGGCCCTTTCAGGTGTCTCAGGTTGTGCCTGTTTGAAATCTCCCCTGAAAGACACAAGTGATGGGAGATCTCTGAAGTAGAAATGCTGGTTTGGCTTTGTGCAAAGGGACAGCGGATGTTCAGAAGGGTGGATGTGACATCTGGTGTTTGGTCTTGCAGTCCTTCCTCATGTGTAACCCCACCGATGCCCATGAAGCTACTCAAATGTGAGTTGGGGTTGCAGGATTGGGGACCCTCTTTATTTTCTGCATGGACTAGCAAAAATGCACCTTGCGTAAATATCTATCTAATCAGCTGCCTACTTGTTAGAAGGCCTTCAGCTTCCTCCTTTCTTGGGCAGATCAGGGCTATAAAATAAAGCAGCTACCATGTTCAGTTTCCCATGCAGGAGTCAGCAACTTCCATATGTACTTTTTGCTGAGACCTTAAAGAGAAGTTGAGAATAAGCTAGGGCATAAGGCAGGAAGAAGTATTAAAGAAAATAGAAGTTTGTATGAGAATGTGTCTTATTCAAATAGTAACTCAAAGTGTTAAAGGCAGGGCTTTCCTTGGAAACAAGAGACCAGGTGGGGTCAGAATTAAAACTTGTTAGCTCTTGTCAGCAGTAGGTGACTCAGTGTCTCATCCTCCTACAGATAAGTTTGTATAGGCCAGTTAATACTGAAGAGCAAGTACAGCAATATGAGAGAGGTGGATTCTTCCCTGACTCATGCATCATTCTGACAATGACATGAGCCCTTGCTATGCAGTTACTAGAAAAGAATCAAACCTCAGAACGTGCCCCAAAAGCCCAGAGATGTGAAAACCAGACCAACTTACTAAAAAA